TGGGGTCGAGGCCCCCCGGGCACGTGCGTGGAGTCTGGCTCCCCTGCACTCGGAGGCGCGTAGAACAGCGCTCAATCCCAGGGGACTCGCGGAGCCGGCTCGCTCAGCACAGCCCTGAGCCTCTTTCCCCCGCCCCAAAGGCCACGCCCCCAGCAAGCCCCGCCCCGCCCGCGGGAGCCCAGGGACCACGCCCCCTCCTTGCCGCGAGTTCTCGGAAGTGGCTGGGCAGGGACCAGAGTAGGGACAGGGCTAGATTTACATATCCCCGCCCAGGCGCAATGGACACGGGCCGTCCCGCCAGCCCCCCTCGCCAGTCCCCCCCCAGCTCTTCCGGGCTCAGATTCCCACTTGCAGACCAAGCCCCGCCCCTCCGCGGTGCATCTAGGCCAGGGCCTGCGGGCCTGGGCGCCGGCTTCGGGGACTGGACCTCGCCCGGGTCCCGGAACTGGGTCAACAGGTCTGGTAAACTGGTGGTGCCAGTACAGCAGGGCGGGGACGGAGGGTGGCGACCTCAGCGTGCGTGGGAAAGGACTAGCTCTGTGGATCTGGCCCCCACCTGCTTTCTTCCAGGGTGGGGCTCTCTGGGCCTCAGTTTCCTCTCTATTAAAGCACGCGTCTCAAAGGAAGCTTTCACACGCATTGCCTCCTGAAGCCCCTCCCGGATTCCCCTGTAGTCCTGCAGGCCGCAGGCTCATCCTCAAATAAAAACATAGCTCTTGACCTGGCTGTTGATAAAAAAAAAATCGTAGGAGTCTTGCACCAAGTGAGGGGGCCAGCAGGACCTCTCCCCAGAGGTTTCCTCCCTACACAGAGGCTGGGGACGGAGCCAGTGCACAGATGGGAGTGGCTGGAAAAACAGAAAGTGTGGAAATGAAAAATTGGTCAGTGTGGCCACAGGGTGACCGGTCAGGATTTAGGGGCTGGGTCCCGTCAGGCCTTGAATTCAATTATAGGATTTATTTTTGGGTGGAGAGTAGGAAACCCAGGCCCTCAGGCATGCAGCCCTCAGGCATGAGCTACATCCCAAACCCAAATTCAACCCAACCCAATTATCTAAGTGAATTTATCTCTGAAAATCTATCCCTTTCAATTTGCAAGTCCTTCTCCATCTAAAGATAGACTGTCCAGGCACTTTGAAGGCTGAGGCAGGTGGAGCTCCATGAGTTTAAACCCAGTCTGGGCTACACAGCAAGACCCCACCTCAAAAAAAAAAAAAAAAAGTTTTCTTTTGGAAATAATGTATCTTTTTTTTTTTAAAGACATAGTCCTGCTATACAGTTCAGGCTGGCCTTGAGCTCACTTTGTAGCCCAGGCTGGTCTCGAATTTGTAATGATCCTCCTGCCTCAGCCTCCTGAGTGCTGGGATTACAGGTGGGAACACCACCCCTGGCTATAATGTGTCTTTAAAATTTGTTAATCTTTCTTGGAACAAAAAATGTTGCCTGGAACCTCACCCTGGCTACTGTTGCAGCAAGATTTTATGGCATTGTTTTGTTTTCATTGTTTAACTGTTACCTTCTAAGTGTGGTGAGTGATTAACAAGCGAATTAGAACAGGTATAGGGGCCCAGGCCAACTCCTTAAAGGCTGAGGCAAGAGGATTGCAAGTTTGAGGCCAGCCTGAGCAACTTGGGGAGACCCTGTGTCAAAATAAAAAATAAGGGGGCTGGGGATTTAGCTCAGCGGCACAGCGCCTGCCTGGCAAGCACAAGGTCGTGAGTTCGATGCCTGGTACCGGAAGAAAAACAACAACAACAAATAAACAATAAAAAGAAAATAAAAAGGGATGCTGGGCGTAGTGGCACACACCTGTATTCCCAGCACTTGGGAGGCTGAGGCAGGAGGATTGCCACGAGTTCAAAGCTAGCCTGGGCTACATGGTGAGTTGAAGTCCAGCCTGAATTACAGAGTGAGACCCTGTATCAACATAAAATAAAATAAATAAAATAAAGGGCTAGGGATGTCACTCAGTACCATCCCCGAGTTTGCCCCTCAGTACCTCTGTAAAAATAAAATGTGCCAGTCATCTTGCTAAACGCTTTACATGCTTCATCTGACTCTGTTTTGGTCATGGGGCTGGAACCCAGGGATCCCTGCAGAAGAGACCAGCTCTCACCTCTGAGCCACATCCCCAGTGCTCAGCCCTTGGGAAGAACCTAAGAGACAAGCTATCATTGCCAAACTGGAAACAACGCACTCTCGGGCTGCAGGGCATGCAGCGGAGCCTGTAGCTGGCCTGTGACTCTGCTATTGTTCTCAGCTAACCGCTGGGGTGTATGCAGATCTCTGGCCTAGGCCTCCCACCATGTGGGGAGTAGCAGTTACTCCGCCATCTTGGCCAGGACAACTGTAGGCTGTAGGTTGTTTCTCTTTTGTGCTGACTTCAGGCAACACCACCAGAACACACACACACACACACACGCCATCTTGGCCAGGACAACTGTAGGCTGTAGGTTGTTTCTCTTTTGTGCTGACTTCAGGCAACACCACCAGAACACACACACACACACACACACACCCTACGGGACTAGGCCATCACACCGAATTGCACCCCCATCCCTTATTTTATTTTACTTTATTTTTGGAGACAGGGTCTCGCTATGTACTTCAGGTTGGCCTTAGACTCACTGTGTACCCCAGGCTGGCCTGCAACTAACAGCCATCCTCCTGCCTCAGCCTTGGGAGTGCTGAGATTACAGATGTGTGCCACCACCCTGCTTTTTTTTTTTTTTTTTCTTGAGACAGGGTTTCACTAAAATGCCAAGTTGCCATCTTCAAACTTGTGATCTTGCCGAGGATATAGTTCAGTGGCATAAGCGCCTGGCTGGCAAGCGCCAAGATCCTGAGTTCAATTCCTGGTACAAAAAAAAAAAAAAAGGAAAAAAAATCCCTAAATTAAACAAACTTGTGATCTTCCTGCCTCAGCATCCTATAGTGCTGGGATTCTAGAAAAACACCTTTGGGAAGCTGTTGCTGCAGGTAGGGAGTTCCCTGCCTAATCTACTGGTCCTAGGCTAGATGACACTTGTAGTTCTCAAAGTTATTGATTACATTCCAGATAGCCTGTCCCAGGAAATGCTGCAGAGGTCTCTCCAGATCTAGCTAGTCCTTAGCTGTGACCAGTTTGTGTTTAACCCTGGACATGGTGGCCTATATCAGTAATTCCAGCACTTGGGAGGCTGAGGCAGGAAGCTCTCCGTTAGTAGGTCAGCCTGGGCTACATAGTGAATTCCAGGCCACCCTGGCCTACATGGCAAGAACCTGTCTGGAAAATAAAATAATGTTTGTATTTATTTATGAAGCACTGAGCATGGAACCAGGGCCTGGCAGGTTAGGCAAGTGGCCTGCCCTGATACATCTTCAGACCAGCGAGTTTTCATTTTTGCCTCTTCTGATGGCTGGTGTCGGGGAGGGGAAGAGTATGAAGAGTGCTTCTCGAAGCTGCTTCTCTGGTCCCCACCTCCCTGGCCGGGCACCGGAAACCCCTAGACTGCGGCGGGGTGGGGGTCGATCGTGGCTTCCCGCGGAAGGAAGGGCCCAGCGGTTCCTCCGACAGGATGCGCACCAGCCCCTCCCCGCCGCCAGGGACTTCCCGGGGCGTGGGCACCGCATCCCCATGGCCCCCTGGGGTGCCGTGGGTACCACTGAGTCCCCACACGTTCCCGGAAGGAATCAGAGGCGGTGGAAACCAGAAGCCAGGCTCGAGGTGCCGGCAGGACCGCCCGCCCCCACGCCTCAGGTCAGGTCTCCCGGGTCACCGAGCCCGGGGTGGCGCTGCCAGCTGGCACAGGCGGGGCTGCGCAGTCCCGCTCCCGGACTCCCGCACCTGCGGCTCCTTTGTCCTCGCCACTACCCATCCCCTGGCCCCCGGCAACTCCTGAGGCCGCCCCAACCAGCAAGGGAAGAATGTTTTCTCCTCTCAGGGATAGCTCCTGGAACTGGGATGGGGCCCAACACATCCGAGGGTGCAAGGACTGTGTATGTATGCTGATAATTGAACCCAGAGCGTCTGCACTGAGCTACATTCCGCGTCCTTCTTTTGAGGCAGGGTCTCCTCGCCAAGTTGCCCAGGCTAAGTTCGAATTTGAGACTCTCCTGCCTCAGCAGTGTTGGGGTGACAGGGAAGCGTCATTGCGCCTGGCTCGAGAGGGTATTCCTGAATCTAAAGTGCGACAGTTAGAGCCTCTTTTCCAAGGTAGGGAAATTGGGGCTAGGAATTCACCTCCTCACCTGGGCCACACACTTACACCGTGCGAGAGCGACAGGACAGAAAGTGCGCTCCAAAATTTCGCCGCTCCCTCCACCCTAGGTGAGGAAGGGGCGAGAACTGCCGTTTTTTTTCTGCGATATTTCACATTAAACCCAGGACCTTTGCACGGAGCTACAGCCTCAGTCTTAAATTAACTTCTAAAAGCCAGACGTGGTGGCTCACGCCTGTAATCCCAGGCTGAGGCAGGGGGACCGTTGTGAGTTCGAGGCCAGCCTCCACTACAAAGTGAGTTCAAGGCCAGCCTCAAGTGCCTAGCAAAATCCTGTCTCAAAAAGACAAAAAAATAGTAACTTTTAAATTGAGACAGTCTTTACGTCGTGCAGGCCAGGCTCGAACTTTCCCCATCCTCTTGCCTCTGCCTCCCCGAGTGTTACGATGGCACGTGCGTCCCCGCGCCCGGCAAACAGCCATCTCTCTAAGCTCCAAGTACCACGTCTAACTCCGCCTGGGGCGCTTAACTCCGAAATATCCTCCTAATGTTAGAAATGAGAAAGCACTCTCCCCAGAAGTTGCAGGGAAATTAAGGCAACCCCCAACCTAGAGTGAAGGGTATTCACCCGGGGAGAGGTGAGAATCGCCACCAGCACCGACGACGGGGGAAAAGCCAAGGGGCCCAGCGCTCCTGCCTACACCGTAACCCGCCTGACCGGTTCCTGGAGCCCGGGAGCCGCCAGCGCCTGACCCCTGACCCCGCCCCTCCCCCCGCGGGAAGAGAACCAGACAGACCGCACTTTCCACTGCAATGGTCTTTATTGTCCTGGCTGACATTTCCAAAGAGACGCCAGGTAGACGGCACCCACTGCGGGAAAGGTAAACAGGGCTCCACCGCCCAGGCGGGCATCCTTCCGTCTCAGCTCAGTCCGGGCGCCAAGGGCGCCCCCCCTTCCCACCCCTCCAAGGTCCATCTGGGTTGCGTGTCCGTGTGTCCAAGGGAGGTCACGCTCCGGGCTGGGAACATCGCGCCACCTCTTAGCACAAACAAATGAGGAAATTAAAAAACAAAAAAACAATGAATCAGAAACTCGCAGGGCTCTCGCGGCGGTGGTGAGGCGGGGCGCAGTGACTCAGGCCGCACTCCTCCCACTCCCCAGGGCGGTCTACGCCCCGGAGCCGCCTCCCGGGCCCCACACCCACGCTAGGCGACAGGAAGCTCCCCACCCCTGCCCCATGACGCAACGGTGACCGCTTGCACAAGTGTGTCACCAGAGGAGCAGGGGAGCGCCTGGAATTCTGAAGCTGGAAGGGCACACACTGGCAAGTCTTGGAAAACGTGGCCCAGCGCTTGATTTAAAAAAAAAAAAAAAAAAAAAATGAAGTCCGACCCTGAGATTGATAGACCGAACCTCTCTCCCAGCGTGGGAGAGGTCAAGGCCCAGGTCCCAGTCCGTAAATCAGCACCTCTGGGCGCCGCGGGGCTCGCGGAAGGCGCCCGCGCCCCCCGGCTCCTGGGCCGCCGCAGCGTGGACGGCGACGATCCCCGGGCACTGTCCCTCTGCGGCTCCCTCAGCCCGGGCGGCCGCCTCGCTCCTCCTCCGCTCCCGCTGGCTCACATGCCTCGGGGAGGGCGTAACGCCTTGTGTTGCGCACTCGGGTCGACGGCTCGGCGCGCTCTCTGGCTCCGGCAGCGGGCTCGGTCCTCAGAAGGCCACCACGGCGCGCACAAGCACGCTCAGCATCGGGTCCGCCGGGCGACAGGCCGGCTTGGCGTCACGCGCGGGGGGCGCCGTCGGGGAAGCGGCAGGGCCGCGGCTCAGGAGCCCGGAGAAGCTTCGCTGCAGGACGCGCGCCAGGTTGGGGAAGGCGCCTTCCGCCTGAGCGGGTGGGGGCGGCAGGCAATCGGGAACCTCAGAGGACGAGTCCTTTGCCTCCTCCTGCTCCTCCAAGCGGGCCTTCTTGCTGGGGACCAGGCCGGCGTCCACGCCGTCGCTAAGGCTGCTACTGCGTCGCTTGCGGCAGACCCTGGCGGGGCGCGGGGAGCAACGGACCAGAGTCTCCGTCTCCGCGGCTCTGGGGGGCGCCTCCTCCTCTTCCTGCGTGTCCATAGGCTCCGGCAACGGCTGCTCCCCGTCGGGGGGCACACACGCGGCGGGCACTTCCACTTCCCGCGGCGGGTGCAGGCGCGGGTCCGGGCAGCGGGCGGGCGGCGAGGGCGCCTCGAGATCGAGGGCCTCCACTTTGGCCGAGAGGTAGAGCTCCCGGGCGCTGCGCATGATCAGCGACAGCTGCAGACTTCGGTGCAGGCGCAGGCCTCCGCGCTGCATACGCGAGTGATACATTTTCCACACCGATAGTGTCATGATGCGCTGTGCCTCCTTCTGCACCTCCATGGCAACTCGACGGTAAGGGATACAGGGACTCTGAGCAGCGCGGAACAGATAGCGGTTGGTGCTCTGCGGAAGACGCGCCAATTCTCTCAACGCCGTCAGGTCGTAAGCTCTGCCCAGGAGCCGGCCACTCGAGCCCTTTTGTACCCAAGATGACATCAGCGGCGCCCCGCCCAATCATAGGGCCGCATCCGGGCTTTCCACCGCCCGGTGGCTAGAGACTCCTTAAAGCGACAGGGAGGAATTTACTCAGCCTGGACAGGGGACGGAAACCCCGGCAGGGCAGGGCCGGGCGTCCCCTACTGCACTCAGAGCTCTCAGTGTGGTTTCCTTACTCCACCCGCGCGGGCCGGGAGCGAGAGGCGGAGGATAGGGTTCAGATCCCACCCACGTGCTCGTGGCGGGAGGCGCCGGCGGGTCGTGGGCGGTGTTTCCTTTTGCACTGGGGAAGACGCAGGTTCGATCCCTACAGCCCTCGTGGGCACTGCTCCTCGTACCCCCCAGCCGTCTAATGTTTTCAGAATGTGGAACAATGGTGCTAGTTCAGAGCTTTCTATGTGCCAGGTTTGTTAAACTTTGGTGGTGGTGGGGTGCTGAGACCAAGCTGGGCTGAAACTCCTGGTGATCCCACTCCCTCAGCTTCCTGAGCCCTAGGATTACGGCGCGCGCCACCACGTCGTCCAGGCTCCTTAAACTTTTTCACTCCATTGGTATCTTGGATCCCTCACCTTCCAACTCGGTGGAAAGTAGGATTATATCCGTTTTCAGGTGGGAAAATGAAGAAAGCCACTTGTCCAGGGTCTGCCAGGCGAATGAATGGGCAGCCGCAGTGCAGGAACCAGGACCTACCCGCAGCCCGCCGGCTCCAGCGCTTGCCAGGCGCTCCCGCTCCTGGGCGGTGGGAGGGAGGCGGCCTGGCGCGGGTAAGCCCGGATGGGGCAGCGGACACGCGGCTCCCACCTCCCACTCGCGCGCTGGGCGACGATCGGCCTCCACGCCCCGAGGGGCGGAGCTGGGGTGGGAGCTGGACACCGCGCCTTGCCAGGAAGAAGCAAAGAAAGCATGAGCCCTACCCACCACCACGCGCTCGCAGAAAACTCAATATCAGTTGCACACACACAGGCACAAAGCAAAACTATCCAATAGCTCCATTTATCCACAGTATGGCCCCTTTAAAGGGCGCCCCCTCCTCATGTTACGCGGGGAGCCTGCGCGCCACCGGAGCCGGATGACTTCCCGAGCTAAATTTGGAAGCGGTGACGTAGACAACGCCAGAGCAGCTTCCGGCTGCCCATATAAGGACAGGGGTCCGGAGCGGGCGGGGGCGGGGCCTGCGTCTCTGGGCACGCCTCTCCCTGCCTCTTGGGCCGGGACTTCCGGGCGCGCGTCCAGCCGGGCTTGTGTAGTTTTGCCGGGGGAGTAGGCGCGACGCCCACAGGGAAATCCCTGGGTCCGCCTCTAGGTGACCTACGGCTTCTCGGACGCTGTCCCCGAGACCTCACAGGAAGATCTTGCAATTCCCTTCCCCGTGGAGATCCTGGTTCACTCCTCCCAAGTTATTCCTACCACCCGCCCCATCTTATTGATTGAAGTACTGGGGATTGAATTCACGGCCTTCACATTGAGGTACATCCTCAGCCTTTGTTTCGTTTTTTTTTTTTTTTCTATTTTGAGACGGTATCACTAAATTGCCCAGGCTGCGCTTTAATTTATGATTCTCCTGCCTCAGCCTCCCAGAGGCAGGGGATTCCAGGCATGCGCCACCACGCCCGGCCCCCTAATTGATCTTGTCATGCCTTTGAGCGCCTTCGGTTTCCATCCCTTGTCGCACGTGGGAACTCCAATCCTTCCTCTTCCCTAGAAGACCTCTCCCAAGCTGTCCCTATCTATCAATCCTTCCACATCCCCTGGCGACCTATGGCGGGCACGGGCGCCCTCTTCTCTATTCTGCTACCTGCCGTGGGCATATTGTCAGGCCAGGCGCTGGCCTAGACCGCTCCTGGCGACGCTGACAATGGGCAGCACCCTGGGGACTCCCGGCGGTGGCCCTGCCCCTTGTTCTCCACGGGGGACCAGGCGCCCAGAGTCCCAGCGGGGTCGTTCCTCCACACAGGGGCACCCGGGAGTCCGACCGGACCGCGACTGCACACGCAGAGGCGCCCTGGAGATTCCTCGGAGCGGCCACCACGCCACCCTCGGGCTCGCACCCAGCAAGACTGAGCCCCCGGATACCCGAGTCTGCGACACGTGTGCTGGAAAGGGACCTTCGGATGTCTCAGGGCCCCCAAGCTCCCCCACCCCGCCCAGGCCACCTCGAAGCGCTCCCTGCCCTTCTTGTAAGAAAGGAGGAGGAGAGGCGAGGGGAGAGTTGGGCAGAACCGCGCAGAAGGCGGGCTCCGAGCGCGGGAAGGAGAAGGACCGGTTCAACCGGGACCAACTCGGGTGTCCTTGTAAAGGTTCAGTGATTCCAAGCAGGGCACACCGGTCATCCCAACACTCTGGGAGGCTGAGACAGGAGGATACCAGGTACAAACTCAACCTGGGCAATGTAACGATTTACCGAGAACGCCTCAAAATACAGAATAAAAAAGGCCTGGGGATGTAGCTCAGTGCAAAAGCCCTAGGTTCAATCCCAAGTACCACAAAATTAATTTAATTAAATAAAAGTTTCTCCAAAGCTATGACCTGAGTGAAGAGAAGCTGTTATTTACGTTGCCTCAGGAGGGAAACAGTTTGCGTAGGCACAGCCCTAAGGGCTTGGTCTGGAACTAAGATTACGGCTTCCGACCACACAGAATGAGGACTGTGCTCCCAGGCCCGGAATACGCGACAAGGCGTGGCCTGTAGACCGGAAGCTGCCTCTGCCTACATCCAAGATGGCCGCAGTGGGGGCGGAAGTTCCTGTTCTTCGGTCCTCTGTGGGCTCTATGGCCTCTTCTCTGGACGCCCGTCTCTGGATGGTGGCCTCTTTCTCCTCTGGACGCCCGGCTCTGGACGGGGGTGTGGCGGCGGCGCGCTCCCAGCACTAGGAAACAATGATCGCCCAGACACCAGGAGGGAGGGTCTTGGCCTGAGCGGGAGGGGTAACCCTTCCCTCGCAGATCCTTTTTTTTGTGGTCCTAGGGTGAGTGGCAGTGCCGTGGGAGGGTGGAAGGTGGTCAGTGCCCGCGTGCCAGGCAGTCGCGGTGCACGGTGACCCGTGGGGACCTGGAGGGGGATTCGATTCCCGGGCTGCGCTAGGCAGCGCGAGGAGAGGGGTGCAAGGGTGCTGTGCGGGCCTGGCGTTGACCCTTTGGTCTCCGTCCACACGTAGTGGAAGCCAACCCAGGCAGGTTCAAGCTCCACTCCGGACCATGCAGGAGAGACGAATGTTTTGTGGAGCCGTGCAGGAGGGCTTTCAGATAAGGCAGGCCCTGGTGGGCTGAGTGAGGGGAGTTGAGCTATCTTAGTTTTCGAGACAAGGGGTCACTATGTGGTTCAGGCTGGCCTGGAACTGGCGGTGGTCCTCTTGCCTCAGCCTCCTGAGTGCCGAGATGACAGGTGTGCCCCACCATGTCCCCCTGAATTTGAGTATCTGTACACTAATGCCATCCTCACCCGCAAGAAGTGAAGGATCACACGGTCTTCCCAGCAGTTGTAGCTTTCATGGAGAGGAGTAAAAAAGAGGTAAGGCTTCGACTCCCTGTACACCCACACATCGTTCGCACGACCCACCCAGTGGAGAGCCAGCCTGCACCTTGTTCACCTGTCTCCTATACTACAGCATTTTATGTAAGGGATTTAAGCAGCACGCATGGATTTTGGTACCTGTGGGGATCTTAGATCCAGTCTCTTGAGGGCATCAAGAGACATCTGTATTTTTCTTACATTTATTTATTTATTTTTGAGACCCAGTCTTGCTATGTAGCCCAAGTCAGCCCTTAAAATTTCGATGATCCTCCTGCCTCACCTCCCAAGTGCTGGGATTACAGGCGTGCACCAACACACCCGACCACCTGTATTTGTTAGTAGGCTGATTTCCTGAGGGGTAGGGACTCAAGGTCTGTGCACATCTTGACCTTCCTGCAGACACATACCCACTTTCTCTGTACACCTGGTCTACTAGGTCCTCTGAATGTACACCAGTATCCTCCCTGCAGCTGTCCTCTGCTTCCTGATTATCTTCCCCCTCTGTGTCCCGCATCCTTCTTTCAATGCTGAGAAACACCAGCCCCCACTGTCCACTCCAAGGCCACAAAGGGTTTGGACAGCGGGGGCTGAAGCCCACATCCATCAGCACTCTAAAGCTCCTGCCTTCTGTATGTGCAGCTTTTGGAACAAAAATCCAAACTCTGAAATACATCTGCTGACAAGCTAATACTGAGCATTCCAGTAATTAACATTTAGGCTCCACTGGACCCAGGCAGTCAAAAAAAGAAAGGAAGAAAGAAAGGAAAAAGGAAAGAGAGAGGGAGAAAACTGGGTTTGGTGACACATGCTTATAATTCCAGAACTCTGGGATTAGCTGAGGGAGGAGGATCCTAAAGTTGAACCTACCCTGGGCAGTTTAACTTTACAAGACATCTCCAAATGGAAATACTAAAAAGGGCTAAAAATAAAACAAAACAAAAAAGCCATGCATGGTATACACCTCTGTAATCCCAGCACTCAGAAGGCTGAGGCAGGAGGATCATGAAGTTCGAGGCCAGCCTGGGCTGCACAGTGTGGGCTACCTGGACTTTGTCTCATAAAGGTGGGGGAAAAAAGACCAAAAACAAAAAGGCTGGGATGGAGCTCAGTATGAAGGCCCTGAGTTCAATCCCAAAAGAGAAGAAAAACAAGATAAAATAAGTAAATGAGTGTACTCATTTCCTGACACTCAGTGTTGGAAGCAAGGACAGAGTAAGGACAGAGGGGTGCGACTCTGGCTTAACCCAAATACAAGTTCAGGCTGTCTGCCCACTGACTGCCTCCCAGCGTGTGAAATACACAGTGAGAAAAGGCAAGAGTCACTACTGTGTGTCAGGCACATACTTCCCATGGAGTAACTTATATTATCATTCCAACCCTAGGTAGGAAACAAGGATTGGAGCTTTCCCTGTTCTACAGACGGGGAAACGGAGGCCCAAGGCGGTCACGTAACACGGCTCGAGATCACTTTGCTAACAAGTGGAGTCTGAGGAAATGGTCTCCAGCAGACTAAGCACTCTATTTTTTTCCCTTTGTTCTTTTTGAGTCACTTGTGTAGCCCAAGCTGGCCTTGATCTCTGTGTTCCTCCTGCCTCAGCCTCCCGAGTACTGTACTGGGATTACAGGTGTGCACCACCATGCCTGCCTGTGTGACCTGTGACCCACAGATACCAGAAGGCAAGCTGTTTGCCCAGGTGTCACACAGTGACCTGTGGGATGCCAGCAGATTTGCACAAGTGGCAGGGACCCTGGGCTGGAGGTGCCTGTGGGCTGCTCAGTCCTTGCTCACTGCACTCCTTAGCTGAACCTGGACTAAGAGCACCAGCAGCTGGGATTGCTGTTGGAGCACCCAGGCTCTGAAACATGTGCAGCTGAAGAGGAGCCCACAGTGGGCTGGGTGCCTCAGGGACACTGATGCGCAGGTGCCCTGGGGGCAGGTGCCATCTGAGTCCTGGCAGCATGCTAGACACTCTGCATGTGAGATGGAACACAGCCAGCCCCCAATGGACAGGGTCCTCAGAAAGATGTCCCAAGTGTCCCACATGAGTGGTGAGTATCCTTGATCTTGGAATGAGTTCAGCTGGGCATGGTGGTGCATACCTGTAATCCCAGCACTGACACGGCTGAGGCAAGAGGATCTCTCAAATTTCAAGCCCACCCTAAAGTACCGTTAAGACCCTGTCTCAAAGGAAAAAAAAAAAAGGGAGGGAATAAACGAGTTGTTCCTCCTGTGACCTCTGTCCTTTTTGTCCACAGACCTGCAACAGTGCTGCTGGGCATGGCTCTCCTTTTTAGTTTCTTCCCTCTGACCTAGGCCCTCCCTGGTGCCCAGAGCCATGAACACCACTTTGGAGCCGGTCCTGTTCCTAGGGAGGAGGGGCAGGGCCAGGTACCTGTCCCCAAGGCTTACATCCGGAGCTGGTGGAACCCTGGGTTAAACCCTGCACCTCTGGTCCTGTCCCAAGTGCACTTCAGGGATGGCAGAGGCAAGGAGACCTCAGATACATGTCAGCCTGTGTCCTGCTGAGGCCGCAGAACCATTTGCCCCTGTGCCTTCTGTGTGCCAAGTTGGAATAAAGTCCCAGCGTTACTAACACCCGTTGGCATCTTTTGGAGTGTTGATTGCAAACTTAAGGGGCCTTGGTGGACGCCTGTGGCAATCCCCAGGCTGCTCCTGCAGAATGTTAGGGGATCCAGTGGCCACTACTGCATACAGAAAAGACTACTGTTTTTTGTTTGTTAAGATTTTAACAATGGATAACTTGTTACCATTGAAAACTACTATCTCAGATTTCTTGAGTTCAGTTTAGCCTCCACATTACCTGCTTTTTCTGTGCCTAAGGGAGGTAATCCTAAGCATGGACCTGAACATCTTTTTTTTTGGTACCAGGAATCAAACTCAGGACCTTGAGCTTGCCAGAGAGGCAGTTGTGCCACTGAGCCGTATCCCTGGCCCCTGAACATTGACTTTTAAGGCGTTTTGTTTTTGGTTTGAGACAGAATATCACTATGTAGACCACACTGGCCTTGAACTCTCATGTCTTCCTGCCTCTGCCTGAGTGCTGAGATTAAAGGTGTGCACCACTGTGCATCTCCTAGTCTTTCATGTTCACCAGAGAGCTGTAACTTTTGCTGCCTGGCAGCTCTGTACTAGTGGTGGTACATACATCAATGTCCCACCAGGTATTATGGGACAGTCCCATTGAGTGACTCAAGCCACCAGATGGGACAGTGATACATGTACCACTGGTGGTTCAAGTTGGTAAACACATGTTGAAGTGCCACACACCTGTAATCCCAGCACTCAAGAAGGCTAAGGCAGGAGGATCGCTGAGGCCAGCCTGAACTACATAGCAGGACCACATCTCAAAAAAAAAAAGGGGGGGGGGTGGTAAAGTTAAGAGTTGCTGGGAGAGGCCAGGTGTGGTGGCACATGCCTGTAATCCCAGCACTTGGGAGGCTGAGGCAGGATTGTAGAGTTCGAGACCAGCCTGGGCTACAAAGTGAGCTCAAGGCCAGCCTGAACTGCATAGTGAGACCGTCTCAAGAAAGACAAAACAAAACAAAACAAAACAAAACAAAACACAAAAGAGTTGCTGGAACGTAGCTCAGAGGTTCTGGGTTCGTATGCAAACACTTTAATTTTTAAACAGAAGTGTCTTGTGCATTCTCAGATTTTGGAGTCTGAGGGTATCCAATTCCCTACAGAAAATAAAGGATGACTACTCAAATCTGAGTCTCCTGGGGTTAAAAAGCTGCAGTTGTCCTCATTTCTCTGGGGCTACCCATGTGCTACCAAAGCAGGACGTTATCAGTGAGGGGACTTGTCATCAGGCCCACTGTGTTTCTGGATGGCCTCAATGCCAGCAACTTTGAGTGTCCAGCACCCTCCCACTAACCATCCTTCCTGTAGCACACCCTGGCCAGAACTGCCCATACATGTAAACAGTAGCTTGGTTTAAGCCTGTGGTGCTGGTCTGGGGTCTGCCTCAGTGGTGGAGCTTGCTTGGCAGGAAAACAACCCGGGTGTCAGGCCCCAGACCCAGTCCTCCAACCCTTGGAGGACCTGAAGGCTGAGCTGGGTGCAGGGGAGGTCAGGAACCAGCCAGTCACAGCATGGGTAGAGCTGCTGTCCCAAAGCTTCCTGGGCTGTGGGTGCTGGCACCCCTGCAGCCTGCCCACCCGACCCTAGTGAGCAGCAGGCACAGGGCTGTTACAAAGGCGTCTGTTTATTCTCGTCAGGTTCACATTTCCTAACGCCCGCTCCGCTCCGTACAGTAGTTAATGTGCAATCTCACTTCGGGCCAGGGAGGGGTGGGGTGTGGCCCGGGGCGGGGAGGGCGTTGGCACTTCACGTGGATGGGGGTGACCTGTCCCCTGAGAAGGGTGTGGGCGGCCAGTGGAGTTGGGGAGAGGGCCCTAGAGTCCTTTGCTTTTCTAGGAGATGGACAGTTTTCTGTTCCTGTTTCTCTGGACTGCCCAGGGCGGGGGACCATGCAGCTCAGAGCAGGACTGGGAGGGTGGGCAGGGGATGGGACAGAGGCAGCTGGCCGCTTGGCAGGCGGTGGGCGCAGGGGTGGCTCCTGGGTAAGGCACAACCCTGTCTTTGGCTCTCCTAGTGAGGAGTCTCCTCCCCTGCACCCCTTGCCCTGCCCCACCTCCCCCAGAGAGCCAGGAGCACCTCCTGGGGGGGTCACTGAAACCCAGGGGCTCTGCCCCACCAGGCTCTGCAGGGCATCCTGCTAGAGGAAGGGTGGGGAGTGGATGGGGGAGGGGCTCCTGGGACTACCACTTCCCCTGGGGTCTGGCTAGGGCCCCTCAGGCCAGCTGCTCGCCAAGTGACCAGGACATTGTGCTTTGGGATCAGCGCTGAGGTGGGCGTGGGAGGGAAGGGGAGTGCGACTAAGGTGCTTGTGCTTTAGCTGGGGGTGTCGACTCCCTCTCCCGCACTGGACACCAGGGCTGAGGTGCTGGGGTGGGCCCAGGGAGCAGGCCCGACACCCCCAACCCGCAACAAGCAGATGTCAGGAGGGAGCCCAGCAGGCTGGGCTGGGGACGGGTCTCCAACCATGATTCCCAGGGCCCAGTCCAGCAGCCCTACTCCACCCCCGGCCCCCCTACCCCCACCTTACCCCTGCCTGGGAAGAGGAAGCTGGGAGGCAGGAGCAGGAGCAGCTTGGGGAGGGGAGACGGCAGGGAGCGCGGGGCAGAGCACGTGTGCGGTGGAGAAATGACTGGGGGGGGCACCCTCCGTGTTCACATCTTCAACTCAAACCCAAATCACTCACTCTGGGCAAGAAAAGGAATGGCGGGAAAAAAAAAAAGCCATAAACAACTGCTAACAATGGACGCAGACCCTCTCCCCTGGCCCCACGGACTGAAGCTCAGCCATCAGCCAAGCCCTGGGACACCCCAAAACACTGCAGCCCTGGGGTAGGGAGAGGGAGGGGCTAGGTGGAGCCACTGGAGCCCAGGCACCCACATTCCACCCATGCACGCACTCAGCCTGCCCACCTATCCTGCCTTCTGTGGCCCCCTGGGGCCCAGGGGGACCTCAGACACAGTCCCATTGATTTGAAAAATAAAAGGAAATCTTATGCTTTAGTATTTCATTCACTAAAAAAATTCTTAAAAAGTATGTACAGGGGTGAGGGGCTGGGAGCCCTGCTAGGGGGCAGGGTGCTGATGGGAAAGGGCGACACCCTCAGCCTGCTCCCCCAATTCCAACCCTGGTCTTTCCACCTCTTCTACCTCCATCTGCTCTGAAAGCAAACCTACACATGCACACGCGAACACCCACACGCTGTGAGCCCAAGATCCCACCTCCTGGCCTCCGAGACCCCCGCTGATCCCCAAGAGCCCCCCTCACGGACCAGCCTCACTCGGGCCCCAGGGGTCCCACAGGGTGACAGAAACCGAGAGTGAAGGGCCAGGAGAGGGGTGTGGGCCACCCTGGCCACCTTCCATCCACTGGGTGTGGGGCTGCTCTGGGCCTCGTCTAAGCCTGTTCCCTAGTTGTGCAGTGGAGTCCCACGGCCTCGCCTACCCAGCCCCCAGGCACAGGGACAGACGAGGGACACAGACAGGAAGGCGCTTTGGAGACGTGGAAGCACTGGGAGATGGTGGAGGGGTCCTGAGAGCACCCGGGCACCCCGAGTCCCCAGGGCCCCCCAGGCCGGCCCCTCCCCAAGCCAGGCCTGGGAGCTGGAATGACCAGAGAGCTAGGAGGGGGACAGGGCTCCCGACTGCACAAGTGTGTCCCAGGCGGCCCGCCCTCTCCACCTGGCTCCAGTGGGGAAGTGGGGGACAGTGAGGCAGAGGGGCTGGGAGCATGCAGCGCCCCCCGCGGGTCAAAGGGAGGGGTAGACAGTAGCTCGTGACCAAGATGGTGGTGGGTGTGTGTGACGGGAGGGGAGTGTGACAGCCCGCGGGGAGGGCCCCGTGCGTTACTGGAGGACCTCTGCCGAGGGGCCGGCCTCGCCGTCATGGCTGGCCGTCTCGAAGCTGTGCTCCATGCCCATCATGTCTGGCTCCATCTTGCCAGTGTCGCTGATGAAAGAGGTGTAGGAATCGCCCTCCGCCAGGGGTGGCTTGGCCTTGGGCATCCAGCTCTTGCGCACCACACGGCGGGCATTGGTGCACATGTCAGCCGCGATGGCGTTCATCTCGCTCTCCTTGAAGTTGGGGGCAAAGTTCTGGCAGTAGTCTGTGGGCAGAGCAGTAGCTCAGGCCAAGCCTGGCCTCCCCACAAAGCCCTACCAAGTGGGCACAGTGGGTTTGACAGGAGGCCCACGTTCCCAAAGAACTGGCATTATCTGACAGAACCCAGAAACCTGGATCCTCCTCCTGACGGTGGGCTGGCAACATGGTGGCTGCCCGCTTGGCAGGCGCTGCCTGCTCACTTCCACCCTGTCATAACTAACTGCCCAAAACATGAGTCCCTCTGCACCCACAGGGCCCCGCCTCCCATCAGCATTGTCTCCAATCTGAACACTCCCAACAAGCCCAGGCTACACCTCAGAATCCTCCTTGGCATCAAATCCAGCCATCCCTCAGGATCAACAAGGGAGGGAGACATCCATAACCCAGCCCTTGTGCCCTGGAAGGCCACTCACACTTGACGGCGTGGAGGACGCGGCTGTCCAGTGGTTTGCGTCGGGGGTCATTGGTGGAGGACCGGATGCCAGTGCCACAGCTGTTGGCCAGCGTGTTCCTAGGGGTAATGGGATGTGGGTGGAGTCAGCACCTCTGTGGCTGAGGGTGTGGGGCCACCTTCCCCTCCCTGGGTCCTGGTGAGAGCCTCACCGGTCAAAGAAGGAGGCCAGGAGCCGCCGCAGCAGGACCTTGTGCCGTGTGCCCGCACTGACGTGGCAGTTCATAAGCTGCGCCCTCGTGATGTACACGTTGGTACCTGGTGAGGGAGGTGGCAAGGGGTGGCCAGGGTGTCCCATGTTCCCCTGCTTCTTTCTCAAAGCCCTCTTATCCTTCTGTTGGGCCTGGGGCACTAGGGGACCTGCTCTGCTGCTCTATGCCAGGCCCTGCAGCAAGGCCAGCAGGGCCATCTGTGTGCCAGTGGGAGCAGACCAGGCCGCCTCAGGTCAGAGAGGTCAGCTGGGAGGGAGCAGAGGCACCCAGGCACTGCTGCAGGGAACTCCACCCACTGGGCCAGCCCTGACATGCACCAATGCAGCCATACCCACATCAGCCTAGGTGGGGAAATGCGCCAAGGACACCTTCGGCCCCAGTCACACTGACAGGAGGCTCAAGGGTAGGAGACAGGGATCTGGGGAAGGTGTGGCCAGCACACCTGTCACCAGCTCCAGCTTCTCTGAGGGATCCCCCTCATCGTAGAGCTTGGGGTGGCAGCGGTTGCCAATCTGGTTGATGAGCTCAGCAGGGAGAGATGCCAGGTCTTGTCGCACCCGGATGCGGCTGCGGGACTCGGGGGCCACCTGCTCGGGGAGGGCCTCCACCTTCTCAGCTGCAGGAGAGAGCAGAGGATGTGTACATGTGCCACATGTCCATGTGTAAGCCCGGGGACGGTGTGCATGGTGTCACCCTACCTGTCTGGCCAACGTTCATCATGCTGTACATGGTGTACATGTTGCAGATCTGCCGGTACTGCTCGTCTGTGCCCTCCTCGCCTGCGTCTTCCTCCTCATCCTCCTCGTTGTGGTAGGAGCCGGGGCTGTCACTGGTGTAGGCGCTTGAGGTGCCTGGGCTGGTCCGCTCCGACATGCTAGGCCCACTCATCACGCCCCCCGCTGCCACCGTGGCTGCAACCCCCGGAGCCGGCTGGGGCGTCCGGTTGGTGGTCAGGTCTGGCGTGGAGAACTTGGCCATCTTGCGGCTGCCATTGCCCCCGCTGCCGCCTCCAGCCTCCTTCTGGCTGCCATCCCACAGCCTCTTGGCCACAGGTGTGCACTGTACAGAGTCCAACTCCTGCTGCTCTGTCTTGACCCGCGACACCAGGGGCAGCGGCGTGCTGCAGACCGGCCAGCCCGACGTCTGCGCCACGGGGCTCTGCGGCTCTGACGACGGGGCCTCTTCGGCATGCAGGCCCTGGGAGTCACAGCTCGGGGAGCTCACCTTGAGGAAGAACTCAGTGCCCTTCTCCATGATTTCCTGGATCTGCAGGAAGCCAGCTGTGTAGATGAGCAGGAACTGGTCACCCATGTTCATGCTCAGCCGCCCCGTGTAGCAGAATGTGAGGATCTGCTGGAAGGACTGGGGCTGCACAGCTGCTGGCAGCTCTACCACTGCGCTCCGGCTGCTGTTGAACAGGTCTCGGAAGTAGGAGCTGCTGGCAGCCAGCACAGCCCGATGGGCCTTGAAGGCATGGCCCTTGACCACCACTGAGACATCACAGTATAGGCCTTGCAGCCGTTGCTCATTGAGGCACTCAAGGATGCTGTTGCCGAAGTTTGGGATCTCCATCTGCAGAGTCTGGGCCATGGCAGCGGCTGCACAGCAGACAGGGAGAGACAAGGGTAAGGTGGTCAGACGTAGTGCCACCCTGCCCTCCCTCGGGGGCTGGGTATCAGCATGTGGGAGATCAGACACCCACAAGGCAATCTGTTGTCCCTGATAGGCCTGTACAGGGCCACCTAACCCTCATGTCCTGGCACACTCTTGCCTTTATGATATATGGTTGTACCTCAGTATCCAAGGGGAGCGGCTCCCTGGAACTCCTATGGACAGGAAAATCTGTGGGTGTTCAAGTCCCTTATGTCAAATCGCTCTGTATGTGCACAGAAGCCATGCATTATCATCTGGCAGATTTTACATAATCTCGTCATGGTAATAGGTCATAAGGGAGATGCAAACACTACACACATGGTGTTGTTGGGAGAAGAATGACAAGAAAAGTCTGCACATACTCAGTACAGACTCAATTTTTCTTTAGAGACACTGGGGATTGAACTGAACCAAGAACCTTTGTGCTGAATTGTAAGATGGAGTCTTACTAAGTAGGTGAACTGCCCGTGCTGGGCTCTAACTTGAGCTCCTCCTGCCTCATCCTCCTAGAATGCTGGAGGACAGCCATATCCTACCACACCCAGCTCAGATGCCAACTTTCCCCCTCAACGTTTTTAATCCTCAGAAGTACTTTTTTTTTTAGTCTTTTCGATGTACAGTTGACTGAGTCTGAAGGTGTAGAACGCGTGGATACCAAAAGCTGACTGAACTGTCCAATCTACAAATCATCTGCAGGGCAGAGCGGCCAAGCGCTGTCCCCTGCAGTTAGGGTGGCATGTGCACACTCACGCGTTTTATGTACCCGAACGCTGAGGGAGCCTGCCTAAACATTAGGGGTGTCCCTCCATGCAGCAGCAAGCTACCCCCACTCAGCACACACAGTACCTCTCGAGGACGCAGTTTACAAGCACCAGGAGTCCGGCACTGCTGACTGAATGACACTCATGAAGTTACACAAAACCACTAGTGTCACCAGGGAGATGCCAATCCAAATGAGCCACAGTGAGCCACCATCCCAACTCACACAGCTGCTCGCATAAAGACAGGGCAGGGCCAGGGGTACAGCTTAGGGCAAAGCGCCTGCTGAGCACGTGCCAGGCCCAGGTTCCAGCCGCAGCACCCTGCACACAGTCATGTAGAGCATGTGCCTAGCATGTACTTGGGCCTGGGGCAATACCCCAGGTGCACACACACATTGTCATGTGGAAACCCTCCCTGGGGTAGATACTGTCATGGTTTAGATCTAAAATAACCCCCATATGTTCTGTGTTCAGAAACTGAACTTCCAGAAGGTTATCAGGTCGAGAGTACAGAGACCCAGCAGCACCAGACCTATACCTGGATCAGCTCAGGACTGACCAGGCAGTTGGGAGATGGGGCTGGGCTGGAGGGGTCCCTGTACCTGGCTGCCACAGATAGGCAGCTACCCCCTGCCATGCCCTCCGACCATGCCAGATCTGCCCAGGAGCCAGCGGACCACATGCTGAATGAATCCTCTGAAACTGTGAGTCCGAATAAACTTCTGCTTTGAGTCACAGGTGTCAGGTACTTTGTGCCAGCGACGGGAAAGTGCCTAGCACAGATACCGCACACCACACACTCAAGTGTCTCATATAAGACAGGACCGCATTTCTGGAAAACCTACAGGTGTCTTCTCATACGGGACCTATAACCCTTAATACAGTGTAAATGCTGCACACAGGATTGTTATGCCACACTGTTTAGGAAATAAGGACAAGAAAGTAAGCCTGATCCCAGCCCACCCTCAGTGGGCACCGCACAGGTGAATGGTGAGTCTTGGCAGGCACTCAGCACACAGGGAGCACACAGCAATTCAGGCCCTGAATTAAGTTCTGGGGGAAGGAGGAAGCAGTGGAAATGCAGGGCGGGGTCCAGGGACCCAGGTCCCTTCCCTAGGGCAGCCCCAGCCTCAGAGCCTAGTGCTTTGCAGCCTCTGAACAGCAACGCAGGGTGCAGGAGAAACTGGTGCAAAAGGCTCAGCCAAGAGAGTGCAGGACACCTCCCTCCTCCGTGAGGCTGGGGAACAGGGCGGTAGGTCTGCAAGGTGCAGAGACCCCAGTGCTCTTCTGTCCAGCCCTGGGCACCCTCAACCCACAGGAGCTGCCAGGAAACAGGGTCTGGGGTCAATGCCTCTCAACATGCCGAGTTTGTCCCGACCATGCCGGGCAACCACCAGCAGAGGCTGGCTCAAACCTAGTGGACCAAAGGTGCTCAGGTCTCGAGTCAGTGACACTGGGTGGAGGCGTGCTGTCCCCCGGTGGAGCTAGCTGTGCCTCAGCCTGGAGTGCCCAGCCTGTTCTGCCTTTACCCTCCTGCAGGCTGCCTTTCTCACCACCCACTAAACCTCCAACAACACCAAGTCTTTCTTTTTGAGACAGGGTCTCGCTATGTAGTTCAGGCTGGCCTTGAGCTCACTTTGTAGCCCAGGCTGGCCTTGAACTCACAACGATCCTCCTGCCTCAGCCTCCAGAGTGCTAGGATTACAGGCGTGTGCCATCACACCCAAGCCACCAAGTCTTGACGGGCAGAAAACCACAAAGAACCACCCTCAAACTCCTCACACTGGTCATGGTGTCAGGGAAAGGACAGAGCTGGGCAACCTCAGCCCTGCGCAGGGTGGAGGGGATCCCCTGCATTTGCCAGTCCTGGCGTGAGGCAGGAGGCACTTGGGAGCTGTGGGCCTGAAGCCATTCATCAGTGATGCACTGACTAACATGCTCCAAGCCAGTTCACCAACCTTGCTACGACAGCCGGCATCAGAACCGACCTGGAGGCACCATAGCGGGCTGAAAGCACAGCCTCCTACAGACTGCTGTCACCTGCAGGCATTCTGTTCCATCTCAAGGCTCTGCTGAAGACTATGTCCTATGTGGAATTCACATGGTTTGTCTTTGGGAGGGAATTAAGCCCTGATGGGGTTAGGAAGCCATCTGCACACTGAGGTGACAACGCTCGCCTCCACCCAACCATGCTGGCACCCTGACCTCAAACACTAGCCCCCTAAGGTGTAAGACAATTGGTGGTAGTGCATGCCTGTCACCCAGTACTCTGGGATGGAGGGCATGTGCCATAATGGCAGTTCCTTCCTTCCTTCTTTTCTTTTTTTTTGTCTTTCTTTAGACATGGTCTCACTATGCAGTTCAGGCTGGCCTTGAGCTCACTCTGTAGCCCAGGCTGGCCTTAAGCTTGCAACGATCCTCCTGCCTGAACCTTCTAAGTACTGGGATTACAGCTGTGTGCCACCATGCCCAGCCATAATGCCAGTTTCAAGTTGGCTCCAGCAGCTCAGGGAGTTTACCTGCATGGCTCACTGCTGTGACCACACACAACTGAGGGGCCCATGGAATTCATGAGTAATTGTTCCCATTTCTTCCAATTCTCACTCTTTCTTGTTCCTCAGTAATGTGTCTAGAACAGCAATGAGGCTCAGAAGCACTAACCTAGCCAAGCCCCGGGTGACAGTTGCCCCAGGGGTGGCCTACAGCCAGGGTCCCAGCTGGGGCTCCATGCCCTGAGTGGATGGTGGCTCTCACGCCTGTTGAGTCACATGCCAGCAGGACTATTCCTGGGAATGGAAACTGCCTGCTGTTTGGGAAAAGCACTCAGGAATTCTTCAGCCAGCACAGGCAGGGGCAACAGATCACAGGCTCATGGGGAACTGTCAAAAGCACAGAAAACAGCCAGGCATGGTGGCGCATGCCTGTAATCCCAGCTCTCTGGAGGCTGAAGCAGGAGGATCGCTACAAATTCAGGGCGAGCTGTGAGACGGCACTAACGTGCTATGGCTTTAGTGTTTGCGTCCCTCTAAATTTTAGGGGGTTGGGGGTTAGGTCAATGGTACAGTGTATGATTAACATTAGCAGGGCCCCAGGTCCCATTCTCAGCATCAAAAGAAAAAATAACAGGCCCGGGATGTAGCTCAGTGGTAGAATGCTTGTCCAGCATGCCTGAAGCCCCAAGTTCTACATCTCACACAGTGAAACATTAAACATACTTTTCTTTTTGGGGGTCACAGGGATCAAACTCCTGGACTGGCAGATGTCAACAAGCTCTCCAGCACTGAGCTACATGCCTGCCCAACACAATTCTTACGATGAAATTGCATCTAATACAATAGTACTGGGGAGAGGATGAGTCCCTGACAGCTACACCCTGAGCAGCAAGCACTGTGCCCTTGTAAAAGAGGCCAGAGGAGGCACCATGGCTGAGGACCAGGCTGCCTCACCAGACAATGAACCTACTAGTGCCTTGATCTTGGGCTTCTAAGTCTCCAGTGCTGTGGGCAATACATTTCTATAGGGACTGGAGGCACAGACTGGTAGTTAAGTGCTCGCCTAACATACAGGCCCTGGCTTCTATGCTCAGCATAGAAAGGACAGTCAGTCCATCAATCAATCACCTTTTGCTTGCATGATGGCACACGGAATCTGCAATCCCAGCACTCCAGGATGGTGGCTAAGGCTAAGACAGGAGGGGGACTTCAGGTCTGAGTCCTGCCCAGACAACCTGGTAGGTGTTGTCTCAACCCCTCCCCATAAAAACACCACCGGGTTGGAGACATAGCTCAGTGCTACAGTACCCCTGGGCTTAATCCCCAGCACTGCAACACACACACATACATACACACACACACCCTCAAAAACAAAACGAAAAAACCCACAACTTTCTGTTCAAAAATTAGGTGGTGTGAGGCATTTTGTCACTGCAGCCCAAAAGGACTGAGACAAAATGTACCAACAGTTAAGAGAAACACCAATTCCAAGTTGAGCCAGGAGGAAAGCTCTGCAAAGTCCCCAGGCGGTGAGGACCCCCAGAGCAGAACCCATGTGGGGCCCAGGCGCAAGAGGCAGCAAGCACAGCTCAGCGCTGGTGAGCTGCTGAGAGCTCCTGGCTGTGGGGCTGCTGCTGCAAGGTGCCTTTTAAGCACATGCATATTTGATTCAGCTTTTCCATTCCTGAAAGG